GAAGTATGTCAATACAACACTTATAATAAAATAGGCATTGATTTCTTTGTTTGGTTTGGGCTTAAAAGCATAATAGCTAATCTTGGGTATGCTAAAGTGAATAGAATCTAGTGGCTGTTACTTGGGCAGACTATGGGAAGGTTTAAGGATATCGAATAATGATGAGTCATGCCAACAAATTATTGGGTCTATCGCTACAAGTGAAAAAATATATATTTTCCTTAAATGATATATTCCCTTTGAGCTTGGTGTAATTATATTGGAAAGTGGGTTTATGAGGGACATATACTTAAAAGATGTCTCTATAGTATCAATCTACAATGAAGAGATTAATTTCATTAGTGCATTAGAGTCATATTAGGAATTTCTAAATAAAGAGATGAGTTCAAAGGCTAGGGCAGATTTATTAAAGCTTATAATGAACTTCGAATATTAAAAGAGAGAAATACCATAGATAATCAAGTAAATAAATATATATCAATGAATTAAGATACACTTATAGAGGTCTATGAAAATGAACTTAAAGATCGAACAGATGAACGTGGTTTAAATTTTTTTAGCTATATTATAACGCCCAATTACTATAAGAAAAAAATAAAATCATAATAAAAAAAGAACCATAGGCATACACACCTCTAGCAGAAGAAGAAAGGCTCGACATAGAAGCCGACCAAGAGAGAGATAAAGCCATGCAGGAGAATTTTACCTGCCACTTACAAAAAGAGAAAAAGAAAGAATCAGGAAGAGAAAAAGATTTATGTAGAGAGGGGAGAGTGAGAGGGGTTGAAGGCCGACTTGTGCAAAGAAAAAGGAGAAGAAAGTAGTGGAGCAATCTGCATCCAAATCCGTTCTAGATCCGTGTGAAAAGAAAACCAGAAGAGATGAGAACCAATCTTACAGTGACAAGAGTCGAAAAAGAAGATTGAAGTGCAATAGTCGATCGTGTGATTCTATAGACTTGCAGCTCATTCCGATCCGATTTCATTATATTTGTGCCAAATTTGAGCGCACGACACATTTCGCGATGAGTTCTAGTAACTTTGTGGTGGCGAGCAGTAATTCTAATGGTGGTGCGTGGTGGTCCAACAATGGTGCATGTTCAGGTGCATGGAGATGCGTGGCAGCACGTAGAGGTGCATAACGATGCACATTAGGTGTGTGGTGATCCCAGTACACGCGCGTGTCTGCATGGGGTGGCGCATGGTGACTCCGACAACTGAGGACCACGTGTCCGAGGTAAAAATATGTTTTTCTTTTTATGTTAAATATTTTTAAAAGTGTTCGTCATTTAAAGCATGTGTCTTTTGTTTGTGAACAAGAGAATTATCTAGACGATAACTAAATTTAGAGAAGACTGTAGACCAAAACCAGTGAAGACCCTGACACTCTTTCTTATCAAACTATAGGTAAGAATGTAATGTGTTATTTAATTCTGGTATTCATTTTTTAAGGTCCACTAATAGGTTTAATTCTGGTTAAAGGATTTACATGCTGGTTTAATTCTGACAAAAAAATAATTTATGTGACCATATATGTGTTTATATTTCATTTATCTATATAGCATCAGAGCTGTGTGTATGTTACTATTATGTGCTGGTAATCGATGCATATATATGTATATGTCGACTATGTGGGATTGATGTATTTATCTGTATATATAAGGATTTGGGTGTTTATATGCTTTGTACATGTGCATGATAATGTATGTATACATGCAATGATGGAAGATGTGTACACGTATATATATATACATATGTATGTATAACATATATAAATATTGTAACTGTGTGCTTTATATACATATACATCCAATTGTATGTAATAGATCATGTAGGTATAGAAATATATATGTATATAATAGATATATACATAAGAACATGTATGCGTGTTTGTATTGTATATATTTATTTGTGTTATATATTTATAAGTTATTTATATAGGTGGTGGATAATGGGTGCGTGATGGTAAATGCCTAAACTGGGTGAATATGCATGAATATATAAATACATAAAGGTATTTGTGTGTATGTAGTAGGTGATTGCAAATATATGTTTGCTAGTTGGTGTTTAAATGAAGATGTATTTAAACCACGCATAAGAGGATGTGGGAATGGTGTATGCATGTTATGAGTTTAAATAGGCAAACATTCAGGTGATCCATTTATGTATATTATAATCAGGATCTAGTTTAGAGGTACTTATGATTTGTAACACAATAAAATAGGAACATTTAAAAGACGTTTAATAGGTACCAGAGGGGGAGGGTACGTGTGTAAAATCTACAGTGAATCCTACTGTGGATATGATCAATATTTATGGTGCTCACATAGGTCGAGGTGTGAGAATGATCGATGTTTATGGTGCCCATATAGGTTGAGGTATAGGATGGTCGCTATTTATGGTGCTCACATGGGTTGAATTATGATGACAGCCGATGTTTATGACACCCATATAGGTTAAGATATAGAGACAACCTCTATTTATGGCACTCAATAGGTTAAGGTGTGAGGATGGTGATGTTTATGATATTCATATAG